TGCATAGATAGGAGGATTGCCATCTAAGGTGTGACCTGGGAAAAAAACCAGAGACGCTATCTGAAAAATAACTAAAGCAGGAAAGGGCTGGGGATTGTCTTACTTATGTAGTAGAGCACCAGCTTAACAAGCATGAGACCCTGAGTTCAAACCTGAGTATACCCCTACCAAAAAAAAAGGTGAATGAGCTGGGCACGTGCCTGTAATTTTAGCACTCAGAAGGCTGAAGCAGGAAGAAAGGGAGTTCACGGCCAGTTTGGGTTACACAGTAGGAATAGTGTGGATGAAATGTTTGTAATAGCAGAAGAAATGTTCAAGCTTGGGTTGGTGGAAATGTGGGAATTAAATCGTCTTGATGTATGGTAGATGACAACTCTGTCTATGAGTTTATTCATGGAGAAAGTGCAGAGACGTGTCAGAGTGTTAACCGAGGCTGCTCTTGGGTGGTCAAACATGGATGAGGTTCATCTTTTCTTTAACAACTTTCTGTATCTCTATAATGAACATGCCCTGCCTTTAGAATCAGAAAAAAATTATTTTAAAAGTCAACTTTGGGCCTGGGTTGTGCCTGTGTCAGAGTCTGCATTGGTGGTGTAGTAATACACATCTGTAATCCCAGCACTCAGGAGGCCAAGGGAGGAGATTAAGAGTTGGAGGCCAGCCTGGATAACATAGTCAGACCCTATTAAAAAAAAAAAAAAAGCTAAGGGTCAGTTTACTAAAACCCAGGAAATGAGCAACCAAGCAGCCCAGGAATGTGGATTCAAGGGCCAGAGCTGCCATCTACAGCTGGGTGGACTAGGTCGATCCTTCTCTGGGCCCACATCTCCTTGGTAGGATTGAGCTGGACTCACAGCAGCCAGAGTCTCTTGCAGTTTGAAGAATACTTTATGATTTCAGGCCTTCAAGGGAGAAGGCAAACTGCAAGCCCAGGTGGAAAATCTGGGGAGCTGGAGGCTGGGCATCCCACTTAGCACCGCAGCAAACTTCCTGGCCTTTAGCTTTTTATTTTTCTGCATAAAACTGAACAGATGGGTCAAGTTGAGATTCCTGGGCTTCAAGCCAGCCCTGGTTCCCCCAGGCTTACCCTCCGGTGCACCCAGAAAGGCCCTTGCTTCGTGGGGACACCATCTCAGGAGGATATAGATTGAGTAGGTGGAGAAACTTTCCCTCCAGAGGTAAGATGAGAAGAGGAATGAGCGAATCGGCATGTGCATGCTCTACACTTTTAGAGAAAGGGATGGAGGAACCTAATCCTGGGAGAATGACAGTGGCCTTTGTGTTGGTCCAAATACCAGGGCTCTGCCATCACCATGGCCTAGGGGCCAAGGCTGCAGCATGAGACTTCTCCTCCATCACCCAAGCTCCCTGCTTTGCTGTGGCCCAACCTACAACACACCCCTGTGGAGAGACCCAGCCACAGGGCCACAGGCATGGACCCTTCTGCTTCATCTCCTGCCATGTGAGGGTCCTGTCTTCACAAGTAGGTCACACATGTGTCCTGAACAGGGACTGTGAGTATCAGATGCCAGCCCCACCACGCCACACCCCTCCTGGCTCAACTGTTGGGTATGAAGCTGTGGCAGGGCAGAAAGCTTTGAGGCAGGCAGATCGAGGTCCTGGTCCTCCTTCAGATATCAGAAATATTAGCCCCGCTTAAGACAGGCGCAGGCTGAGGCCTGCGGGAGCGGAAATGAGTTAGGATGAACACTCCCGTTGAGAGTAAAGGACAAGGGAAGATTAGGCAGGGGACATGGCAGCTGACATCACAAAGCCACCGCTCTGGGGGTGGAAATGGCCAGTCCTCACACTGCCACATTGGCTACAGGGTCACCATAAGGACAGAATCTCAGCTTAAATGCTGAGGTGTGTCTGTCAGGAGTCAGCAGTCTGGGGCTGTCTTCCAGACCCGGCTCCTGGCGACAGGGAAGTGACAGAACTCACAGTGAGTCCTGGCCCCACTTAATTCCCTTCTTTGCTTTTGGGCCCAGAAGACTTGGCTTAAATTCCAACACTGTGACTTAGCATGTGACGACGGGGACCATGGCAGACGGGGACGTGACCAGGTTCACTTGATCACCCAGCCATGGTGCATGGTGGGGAAGGAGGCTGCATCACCTTCCTGGACTCAATCCTCACATGTGAGTGGGAAGTGACTGCCACCGCCCCAGGTGCGAGGATTCACCTGGCCCGGATGCTAGCTATGAGACTTTTCACTCAAGACTCAGTCGATCAATTCGATCCATGTCTGCTTCCTGCTCTCGCTCAGCCTAACCTAAAACCCCCTCTTCTCCCCTCCACTCCCTCTTTGCCTCTCCCATCTTCCTTTTCCTTCCCCTTCCCTTCCTTCTTTTCTCTACTTCCCTTTCCTACTCTTTTTCCCCCTTCCCCTCCCACTATTCCCCTCTAGTTCCTTCTCTAGCTCTTTCCCTTCTTCTTTTCCTCCTTCTCTTCTCTCTCTTTTCCCTCCCTCTCTTCTTTTCTCCCTCCTTTCCTTTCTTGGAAATAGTTTCATGGGCAGCATAAAGTTCTGTGAAGGTACAAGCCATGTTAGGGGTCCCTCCCCAAAATTAGGGACTCCTGCTTTGGGGAGTTTGAAAGACAAAAGTCCCTTGGAGATCCCAACTTTGCTGTCCAGAGCCCACCTGCCTCTTCCAGCCAGGCCAGTCTTCCCCCATGGGGAAAGCTCACAATGTTATTCCTGCACCAGCTCACATGAACCATGGGTCTAGTTCAAGCTCTTTTTTGCAACCTTCCCCCACAGGGAATTTCAATGTAAACCTGAGTTCACATTCTGACCTGCAGTCCTAGGAGGTCTTCACCAGACAGAGGTGAGAGAATGCACTCATTTCCTGCCCTCTTATCCAATCAGATGTCTTAGGAGGGAAGAAGGGAAGACAAACAGGCGTGGCCCACCTGGGTAGAGGGAGAGGCACTCACCAGAGGCTTGGAAACATCCTCACACTAGGACATAGGCTAGTTGAGGAACTGGGCTCAAAGGGAAAGCAAGGGAATTGGAAGTGGTCAGGGAAGATATGAATAGGATCCCACGATCCTCCTTATCCAGTGTCTGAGGTTCCTCATCAGAATATCATAAACACCCAGAGGTGAACTAGATAGATACGCTCCTAGACACTTATTCTCCCTCGGGCTTACCTCATTTATACCCACCTTGAGCACTGATATCAAGATGAAGTGAAGAGCCTGGTACCTTTTTTAAACTCATTTCAGCCTTACCTTTTGGGCGTTATTACCCCCAGGTTGTAGATAGGATCACAAGGCTGTGACTTGCCATGGATGGTAAAGCTGGGATTTGAGCCAGGTGCTTGAATACCCACTTGGACTCCTGGCCACCATCGAAGCTCTGGAGAATCCTCTGCTCCTCTGGCCTTCCTTGCATTAGAAAGTAGGAGGCTTTGTGGGCCTGGTTGACAAGATGTCCAGCTCTTACTTTAGTATAACCTGGAACGTTTTGATTCTCCTCTGTAGATGGGAAAGTGTGGTATGGAAAATGGTAACCTGCTAAAACCAGATGCCAAATTAGTAGAGAGAATCCATGAGCAAAAACAAACACACACACACACACACAAAATGAGCAGGCCAAGTTGGGCCTTGGTAGCTATACTCATACTATTCTGTCCAGGTGCTCAAGGCTCCAAATCCCACATTCTCTTTATGTCTTTGCTGCTTACAGACAAGAATGGGACCAACTTATCCATACAGAGGTGGAGGGGAGGGGGCTTTGGTTTACCCTGACATGTCTATAGCACAGTGCAATATCTGCACCATAATGGCAAGGGGCAGCCTTTGAGCTTGGGCTGTAATGAGACTTCAAGGAGTCAACAGTAAGGTGATAGGGCCACCATGGACCTCTGAGATGACAGCAGTGTCACTCTAGCCCTCCCCCCTTGGCAAGGCTGACTCTCCTTAAACACCAGAAATCTTACTCTGGCAAGTCTGAACCCCTGCTCTGGGGTTCATCTCATACCCAGAAACAGAGATTCAGACTGTGGCAAAGGGCAGGCGAGGCGGGAAACTATATTTGTTTTCCTTCCAACATCTTCAGAGCTGTCTGGTTTTCCCTGTCTTGGGGTCCCCATCCTTTTTTTCCTGAGTCTGTTGAGTCCTAACAGATCAAATGTGGGTGACTAGAACTCCGGTGTGTCCAGGAGCACCCTCTACTTGCTTCTAGATCTCAGTGACTCACTGTACCCAGGTTGTACCTACACCTTCCCACCCACATCAGATCCCTAAGCGACTTTCCCAGATTGCCTGGGGCTCTCTGGACCCTGCTCTGGGCTCCCAGTCCTGAAGAGGACATCTACTCTGTGCTGAGAACCTCTCATGTGCTCACCCTGAGCAGATGTGCTGGGCCCACCAATTCTCCCTCAAACATAGTCTACAGGCTATTTTTAATCCCTACTCCCCTCCGTCCATGGGGTTCCTGCCACTTCCCATGTTTCTTTGAGTCTCTATCTACTTCCCTCCTGCCCTGATTAACACAGCCCCAAGCTCCCTCCCTCCGCACCCTTCCTTCCCCATTGTCCCTGCCTTTTCTTCTGCAGTGGTCCAGCTGCCTCCTGCTGGAGCTGGAACTGGAGCTGGAGCCCTCCACAGGCCTTGAGGAAGAAGGAAAAGGCCCAGCACCCTCAGGGAGGAGGTGTCTGATCACTTCCGGTGGGCCTTGTTTCTCTTTCTCTGCTTCTGCCTTGTATCCTTCCCCCCAACTTGGCTCAGGCTGGCAAGGAGCAGGGTAATGGGTGTAGTGGTATTTTTTCCTGGTGGGGGAAGGGGGTGGAGATTGAGGAAAGAAAAGAGCTGGGAAGGATGATTGGCATAGGGCCCGCCTTCTTTTGTCCTCCTCCCCAGTACTTATGCTGGCCCCTTCAGGGAAATACACCTGTCTGAGGCCAGCAGCGGGCTGGGGTAAGACTCACCTCTGCTGGACACTGCGTGCTGCAGAGCTTCCCTGGAGAGCCCCGGGGACTGCTTCTGGAGCCATGAGACCACCTCACTGGAGGAGGGTCCCCTGGGTGCTCCTGAGCTGCTTATGTTCCCACCTCCTTTGGCCTGTGGTTCAGGGTAAGTGATGAACCTGGGGAAGCATTCTGGAGCTGGGAGAAACTGGCTTCAAGGGGCCTGCCAGGAGAGGTGTGTGTGTGTGTGTGTGTGTGTGCACGCGCGCACACGCGCTCGTGCACGCATGCCAATCCTGAGGCTTGAATTTGGGGTCTGGGCACTGTCCCTGAGCTTTCTTTGCTCAAGGTTAGCACCCTACCACTTGAACCATAGCTCCATTGCCAGCTTTCTGGTAGTTTGTTGGAGATAAAAGTCTGACTAAATTTCCTGCTTGCTTTAAAGCATGATGCTCAGATCTCAGTCTCCTGAGTAGCTAGGATTACAGGCGAGAGCCACCAGCACCCAACAACAGCTGGTGATAAATGGAAGAATTCATCGAGCCATGTCTAGTCAGAGGACAGTCCACTGAGAAATAAACAAAGCAAAGCAAAATGGACAGAAAAAGAGAAAAGTCAAGGAGACAAGCAGAGCTGAAGGGAAAGGGCTGAGGACAAGCTAGCTGGTCTGGAAAATAGTATCGAGAATTCAGGCTGGGACAAGAAGCGTCCAGAATGCTGAGAACAGTCAGCTGGTTACCCTGACGTTAGATTTAAAAGCCTCCCCTGGGAGCGAAGTATTGGTGGCTCACACCTGTAATCCCTGCTACCTGGGAGACCGTTTGGGGTCTTGGTTAAAGGTCAGCCCAAGCAGAAAGACATCGAGTCCTTCTTGAGGGAGAGCTGGATTAAGTGGTGTGTATATGTTATCCTAGCTACTGTGGTCTAGCCTAAAGTAGGTAGGTCACATCCAGGTGTGCACCAGGCAGGAAGAAAGACTCTTATCTTAAAAGTAAAGAGCAAAAGTTAGGGTCAAAGGTGTGGTTCAGCAGTAAAAGCACCTTCTTAGGAAGTATGAGTTCCCACCCCCTCTTAGGCCCATGTCCTAGAACTGGATGTGGCTTCCTGCACACCCACTTTCTCATCACATACAGAGTTCAGGATGGGGTGGACCCAAGTCCTAGTGAGGGCATTCTGTATTTCTGGGCCGGGTGTCTGGAGCTTCTTCAAGGTCTAGAGTCCTGAGAGAGTGAAGGATCAGAAGCATAGACCAAAGTTGGAGTCGTAGCTTTTTCCTCACCTCAGCAGGCCTAACTTTCATGGAAGGAACTATTTCCTGGGAATGGGGCAGAAGGAACACCTCTTCTTATGAGACACAGTGTCAGAGCAGTACAATATTCTGCTTTCCTTGACATTTTGTGTGGGTGTGATTGTGTGCTTGAACTAGACCTGGAGCTTGAACTCAGGGCCTGGACAATGTTTCTGAGTTTGTTTGTTTTTTTGCCACAGCTTCACTGCTGGAATTTTTTTGGGGGGGTCTGATCATGGGGCCTGAACTGGGCCTGGGCGCTGTCCCTCAGCTCTTCAGCTCAAGGCCAGTGCTCTACCACTTGAGCCACAGCACCACTTCCAGCTTTTATCTTTTTGCTTATGTGGTGCTGAGGAATGGAACCCAGGACCTCATGCATGCAAGGCAAGCGCTCTACCACTGAACCAACTTCCCAGCCCCACTGCTGGATTTTTTTTAAGGGGTTGGGTAGTTAACTGGGGATAAAAGTCTCACAGGCTCTTCAAATGGTGATCCAGATGGCAGCCTTCTGAGTAGCTAGGATTACAGGCATGAGTCATTGGTGCCCAGCTTTCCATGACATTTTAAGAGTTTGTCTAGGATCCAATGAAACAACTATCATCTCAACTTTCCCACTCACTTCCAAGGCCCTTAATTCAAGCTGAGGAAGCAGGGACCAAAAAGAGTCAGCTGAGGCCAGCTCCTCAGGGCTTCTTCTGAGGATGAGGAAGAAGGTGGTCATAGGAGCCATGACCCCTAGGGCAGTAGGAAGAAGGAAGTGGGGTGTGCGGGAGATGACTTGGATTCAGGAGTCCTGGTTGTCTTGGCTTTGCTCCTAGGTGTTCTGGTCTTTGTGACCAGCCCCTATCCTTGCTCTACTGGATTTGGTTCCCTTAGTCAAAAACAGATGAATGACATGTCCTCCTGACCACCAGTTTAAATTGCATTTTGTGATTTAAACTCCAATAGTGCTGGGTACCAACTCTGCATGCAGCCCCAAAGTGTCACAATCATTAAACTTAAAAGAGCCAGGAAGAGGGGTTTACAGATTAAGAGTTGGGGTGAATGGCAGGAAAAGAGAAGGTGGTGGAAGGAAGATGGGGGTGGGATGATCTGAAGAAAGCTGGGCACACTCTGGAGCCCTGAGTCCTATGACACCATGGAGCATGGCTAGGAGAGTGGATGGGGTGGGGGTGAGGGGACATGGGAGGTGGTACTTGAACACAAGATGGGACCTTAGAAGTGCTTGGTGAGGGAAAAGCAGGCAGTTCCACTTCCTGGAGCAGCTTCTGGGGGACTGGAGGCCTGTTCCTATGGCTGCACTATATCTGATGTAGATATTGGGGCCACTTCTGTCCCATGCCAGAAGGAAACCCAGGCTCCATAAAGGAACAACATGGTGAGGAAGCTTCTCTAGGAAAAGTCCTGATGAGAAAGTAGAATTGGGCATGGAAGAAATGGAAACTGTGATCCCTGGTAGTTCTTGCAGGAATGGTTTATCTTCCTGGGCCCATACAGGCCTCTATCTCCCATAATGGAGGGGCTACTACCCTGACCATTCAGAGTTTAGCAGACCATAGCAAGTACAGGACAACAGGGAAGGAGCCTACTGGCTTCCTCCCAAGAGATTTGCCACTGCATTTATCAGGCTAGGAGAGGCCTCCCCAACTTGTCACCTCAGGCTTATCTGTACCCTCAGGGCACTCTTCTCTGTGCCCAGGATATCCAACAGAAGGAGATCCATGAACAAAAAGTTCTCCCAAGAAAATCAACCAAATGCAAGCCAGTGATCAACAGATGTGTAGCACAGAGCAGGAGCTTCAGGTCAGAAGACTAGTGTCAATGTTGTTACTTACCAACCCAAGGAACACAGGCCAAGTGCTTTCAGATCTAGTCTCATCTTCAATGCCAAAACTAGTAAGATGGAAGGAGCCACTACATAGGGTTGTCATGAAGACGAAACAAGACAGTGTCTGGCAAACATCGGCCTTAAAACTTCTTTGAGAGAGGCTGTTCCATTTCTGAGCTAGGAGGTTGGGGATGGAGAGCCCAATGGGCCTGGGAATGGAGGAGAAACCTCTGTAGGCTCAGTGACTGGTCCACTTGTTCTAGGAGCTCAGGCCTCTCTAAAACCACCCATCCTGCCGGGCGCTGGTGGCTCACGCCTGTAATCCTAGCTACTCAGGAGGCTGAGATCTGAGGATCACGGTTCAAAGCCAGCCCGGGCAGGAGAGAACGTGAGACTCCTATCTCCAATAAACCACCAGAAAACCGGAAGTGGTGCTGTAGCTCAAGTGGTAGAGCGCTCGCCTTGAGCTGAAGAGCTGAGGGACAGCGCCCAGGCCCAGAGTTCAAGCCCCATGACCGACAAAAAATAAATAAATAAATAAATAAAATAAAACCACCCATCCTTCCTGTGGGTCAGCAAGGGTTGCTGGACTTATAGAGTTTGTGGACTTATTTGGCCGTTACTGAGGCAAAGGCGGGCCTCAGCCATGGAGCAGAGCATGCTACACTGCCCTCTGGTCTCCTCCACACCCTGCTTTCTGGCTTAGCTTCAAGGTGGAGGCTGGCCAGGCACTGTTTGCCATGTAACTAGTTTGTGACTTCACTGCCAAGAAAGGCTGAGAAGCACTTGGCCTTTTATATGCTTAAATAAGTAGTTTGACACTGCATCTGTTTTTTGGTTTCATGGTGTGTCAAATGCCTCACACAGGCAGAGCCCAGCCCATGAAGATGCTTCTTTCAGTCCAGGACTGATACTCCAGGCTTGGTCTTCTAGTTTCAGCCTTTCCCTCCACTCTATATTTTTCTATTAAGCTGAACTCATTCCCTGGCATGTTATTGAGTTGCTGAGTCAAAATGAAGACAATATGTCAGCACTCCATAGAGGTTGAGTCCTCAGCGTTTTTCTGGAGACTCTGAAGGGGTCCTAGGAACTTGTATGGCATTAGGCCTCTAAAATGGCAGCCATGTTCCCGGACGGTGTGGTCTGAGTAGCAGGCAGCTCTGCACTGCGCAGGTGCATGGGTAAGTCCTACATGGATATAGACTGTCTGTATGGCTTTCCCAGCTCACATTGTGATTTGGGTTCCTAAAGTCCAGTCACAGTAGGTTTGAGGGACTTGAGAGGAGAAAAGTGCTCAGCTTTTGGATTTACTCATTCACTTTCTCAACACTAAAATGAATAAGCGGTGGTTCTTTCTGAAAGCACTCTGTCTAAGCTAAGTGACCTGTTAAAGGTGACGTGACCCAGAAGTAAGGCATCTGGGATGAGAATCCAGGCTTTATTTTTATTTTTTAATGTTATTGTAAAGGTGATGTACACAGTGGTTACAATTACGTGAGTCAGAGAATGAGTACATTCTTTCCCAATTTAGAACCCAGGTTTCCCTGGTAGTTTACTATGTCTACAAACAAACCTTCCAGCCAGCCCAGTCCATCCTTGCTGAGAGTCATTCATTAATTCATTTAATTCTGAGAGCGGATAAGCAATGCTACCATTGTTCCAGGGCAGAATTGCATGCACACAGTGGAGAATCAACTGAGGTAAGCCAGCCTCTTCCAGTTAAGACCTCACCACATGCAGATAAAGAAAACATTACAGAAGAGCTCCCAATTCCCAAGGGAAGGAGGAGAGTGACAATGATGTCCTCTCTGAGCTGAGGAAGCTAGAGATGGAGGTGAGCCAGGCTTGAGCAGGCAGAGCAGTGAACAGCACATGTAGGCCAGGAAAGAGCTCCGTACCTTAGGGGGATTTAAAAGAGCGCCAGGACTTGGCCGGGCATGGAATGGATTGTGGAATTTAAGTAACTGACATGGGCTGACACACAGAGATTTTTGATAAAGGAGTGGTGTGTTCTGATTTTGAAATGAACTTTGGAATGACCGAGTAAGGA